CCCCACCATGAAATACATTTCAAGTATTTGCAGAAAAGGCCTCAAATGTAGTGGCCTTACAAGCTCAGATTAGGGCAGAGTGACGTGAAAGAATAACAAATCCAAGAGCATTTCCCAGGACTCACATAACCCAGGTGTCACTCTATAAAGTGACTCCACAACAGAGAAGTCCCAGGCTCAGGGGCCAGAGAGAGAGAAAGGCTGGGGATCTCTGGGGCCCCGCCTTCTCAGGTCACACCTGGGCAGATACATGGAGCCCAACAGGGTGACCTGATTCACAGCAGTGAACCGGCAGGAAATGCTTGCTTGCCCCTCACGGCGGTTCGGGAATCCATGCTTGGCCATGGAAATCCCAACACGTGGGCTTCCTGCTAAACTCTCAGCTAAACACCAACATTCCCCGTGCTCCCCCCACACTCTCCATTCTAGCCCGTATGTGAGAGGGTGGTCTCTTTGGACTTCTGGAATTATCTACAGTCATCTTAACCCAAGCATCAGAGCCATTTGGATTTGGAAGATGGCCAGTAGGGGAACTGGTGGAAGGGGGTGATTTTTCTACTCCTTATCTGGCGGATTGAATGCCGAGCTACATACAGATTTACCAGTGTCTGAATAGTCATTCTTGGTCCCTTAGCTTATAGCCATATTAAGTGACAGCATCTTGCATGTCACTGGATTATATTCAAGAAGGTGACGAGGGGGACTCCCCTGGTGGTCCAGTGGTACAGAATCTGCCTTCCAGTGCAGGGGACGCGGGTTCGATCCCTGGTTGGGGAACTAAGATCCCACATGCCATGGGGCAAATAAGCCCGTGTGCCTCAACTAGAGCCCACGTGAGCAAACTACAGAGCCCACGCGCCCCGGAGCCTGCGCGCCACAACTAGAGAAGAGAAAACCCGCCCGCCACAACTAGAGAGAAGCCTGCGCACCACGTGAAGAGCCCGCGTGCTGCAACGAAAGATCCTGCATGCCGCAACTAAGACCTGACGCGGCCAAAAATAAATTAAATACATAACAAACAAATCTTTAAAAAAGAGAAAAAAGGACTTCTCCCAGCTCCTGTCAACTACTTTCTCCTCTGTTCTCTCCACAAGAAAACAAGCTGTTCCCCCCCCACCCCCACCCCCACCCCCGTTTTCGCTGCCCCTCCCCATTCTCCTCCAAGATTTTAAACAAAGGAATCAGAGAAAGCACATATTCAGGCAAGTAGATAAGAGAATCAGAGGTCACTGGCCTTTCAAACTAACCAGGACTCAGTGCCTTAACGACCGGCAATTCTTATACCTGCCTCCTCATAAATAGAGAGGGAAAGGAGAATGGACACCTTAAGCAATTCTCCGTCTTTTCTAAATACAGAGATTTCTAGAACTTTTAAGGGTAAATTCACTTCTTCGATTCCTTCCTGTCTTCTCCCTTCTTGCTTTTGGACCTGCCTCTAAATTAGTGCTTCCCAAACTGTGCCCAGGAACCATCTGGAAATCTTGTCCAAATGCAGATTCGGATTCAGCAGGCCTGGGGTGGGGCCTGAGACTCTGCATTTGGTGTAAGCTTCCAGGCGATGCCGATCCTGCTGGTCCACAGACCACACTTCGAACAGAGGATCGAAATTCTCTCAGGTGACACTCCTGAGTGAAGCCTGTGTAACAACCCACAGTAGCTTGAAGCATAATATTCCATCGAGTGCAGCTGCAGCCATAACAGTTCCTTCTTTCCTGAGCGCCACTGTCTCAGGCCACCATCTCAGGCCTAGGTCCCCAAGGCAGCGTCACATGGGGTGGCCCTTGTGGCCACCCATCCTTTGATTTCCTGGAGGCCTAGAGAAGATGGGGACGTTACCTGGTCAAAGAAATTAAACAATGAAAAAAGAAGAAAGAAGAAACAGACGCTGAAGGATTAACTAACCAAGTGCTAAAAATGTAATTCTGTGGAGAAGTTAGACCCAAGAAGGAAAATGGGAAACGATCTAGACAAAGCGAACTGGAAGCACCTTGACTTCTCCAACGGGGAATATAAGTAGGTTGAGGGGGAAGGGAAAAAAAGCAAGACACAAGAGCCATATGGAATCCTCTATTTTTTCCCTCACACCATCTGGTTTGGGATCTAAGCACAGAACGGCAACTGCACTGATTCAGGAGCTGGCAAAATCTCCAGGCACCTAGGAAAGTGACCCCATGGCTGCGTTCGGTCCCCTCACTCCGGGGCCTGCGCTGGCCTCTTTACACTGTCCCACGCGAGGCCTCTGCCCCGGCTCCAGACACACACGGCCGCAGTGCGTGTGCCACACGGGCACGTTTCCCCCAGTGATGTGCCCCCCGCACACACACAGTTACCACCACAGGTGCATGGAGACCATTTCAGGATCTGGCAAGATGATGCTAGAGATCAAGTTCAGGGATTTTGTTTCTCGCCCCTCCGAAGAGAACCTGCTTATTCACGGAATTCTCACCTGAAATATCCCCAGCAACGTGAGAACTATTAGAGTCCTACGATCTCTCATCATACCATTCCAGAATTCCGAAAACTCTGAAAATTAAGGTGGTTTTTTTTTGGGTAGGGGGAGGGGGGTCGAGCTCATCTGGCAGCAAAACCTGTTCTGCACTGAATTTCCTTGACGCCCAAACGTAACTCCAGCTCTCCAGAAAGATCCATGTGTTGGACTTGGGGGATGCACCCAGACCTGACTGGGGACGTGGCGTCGCACACGTGGTATATGTGCCACGTCACTTTTCAGAAACCTCAACTCTTCTGAATTCTTAAATACATGTGGCCCCAAAGGTTTCGGAGAGGAAATTGGAGGCTTGTATTTTTTCTTCTCAGCTGCCACTGCTGCTTAGAATGCCCATACTGACCTTTACACTTTACCACCCAAATCCAGGAGAGATGCTTAGCTTTTTTCTCGATTTCTAACTGGGCTGGTGTCTTCCGACACATCCTTAAAAGGAAGACCTTTCTCTTTCTGGCAGTACTTTCGGATAATTTGGGGACCTTCTTGTCATGTTAGCAAGTACTGTTCATTCTCTGTCTCTCTGCCATTGAATTGTGAACGTTTAATTTTGCTTTGGCGGGGGGAGCGTTTTAAAAATTGCTTTCTTGGGCTTCCCTGGTGGCGCAGTGGCTGAGAGTCTGCCTGCCGGTGCAGGGGACACGGGCTCGAGCCCTGGTCTGGGAGGATCCCACATGCCGCGGAGCACCTGGGCCCATGAGCCACAACTGCTGAGCCTGCACGTCTGGAGCTTGTGCTCCACAACAAGGAGAGACCACGATAGTGAGAGGCCCGCGCACCGCGATGAAGAGTGGCCCCCGCTCACCGCAACTGGAGAAAGCCCTCGCACAGAAACGAAGACCCAACACAGCCAACCAATCAATCAATCAATCGAAATGCTGTAGAATTATTTTAAAAAATTGCTTTGTTGAGCTAAGTTTACATAGAAAATTCACCTGTTTTAAGCGTGCAATCCAGTGGTTTTGAGTCCATTTACAGAGTGTGGTGTAACCATCACCACGATCTAATTTTAAAACCCCTTCTACCCCCAGCCTCTGGCAAACACTCAGCTATTTTCTGTCTCTCTGGATTTGCCAATTCTGGAGATTTCTTATCAATGGAACCCCTACGGTATTTGTTCTCGTGTGTCAGCTTTTACTCAGCATCCTGTTTCTGAGATCCACCCGTGTCGCAGTGTGTATCACGTGCACTTCATTCCCTTCCATTGCTGCACAGTACTCCACTGTATGGATACATGTCTAACGGTAATTTTTAAAACTCAAGATTCCAGAACCTTCCATCCTTCGAAGGATCCAAGAGAACAAATGTCTGATGGCATTTCTTGCTCACCTCTTCTAACTGGCGCTACACAGGCACACACAGGGCTGGCGCCTAGTAGCCAGAGGTTGAGGGAAGGAATCCGTCACTCAAGGTGTAGAGCTAATTCCAAAGTCAGACTTCATGTTAATTAACCTGAAGCCACAATTGAGGTTTTAAAGAAAAGATTTAAACATTATTAAATGAATTACAGGTGGTCTGACTTTGTAACTCAACGTGTGTCTTACGTTGTACCTCAGGGTCGCTCTTTCTAGACTTGCAGGTTCTGTGTGGTCATTTCCGATTTATTCCTGCAGAAGTAAGCAAACATTTGGGAGGAATGCTGCTATGGGTTCACAGAGAATTACAGCGGAACTTGAAGCCCGGTGTGTTTCTCTGACCCACCACCATCCCTTTATATTCACATGTTAAGTAACTTGAAACCACTGAATTTTAGCTCACTGAGCTGAGTATGAGGATGCTTTGTGTGGACTTTGAGGATGTGGAGGGTGGCCGTGCACATCGCTCAGCTTTCTCCCCTTCCGGGTCCCCAGATGGGCTGATGCACAGTTCACCCCGACCCAACACTTAGACGTTCCGAGAGACCGGTGCTCCTCCTGAGCAAGGAGACTGGAAAGCGGACCCTGTGGACCTACCTGACGGGATGGCGTACCCAGGTATCTGCTCGTCATTTCATGGGCTCTGAGTTTTCCTTCTCAAAGGCAATGGACTGATGTGAGATCAGAGCGTTGCAGAGCACTGTGGCCAGAAAGACATGTGGGGACACTGACAGCACCCTCAGAGCCCAGGCGCCTCAAATGTCCTGGCTCAGTTCTTGGTCCCATCTGGGCATGTGTGACGCCCCCCACCCACCCATTATTGGTTCAGATATTAGAAATTTCGTGCTCAGCCCCAAGGCATACCTCACTGTACACTGCTCCTTTTGAGAAGAGGTGAGGGGGAGGAAACAGGGAGGAGGGAGAAGAGAGAGGTGAAAGACGGGGTGGAATGGAAAGGAAGAGAGAAAAAGAAAGAGGAAGAAAAAAAATCTCAAGGGGCTAATTCCACCCCTACCCCTGTGAACAAATTAATGCATCAAGCAAAACAGAAAACAACACCAAACCGAAAGAGCTATCACAAATCATATTAAAGATACACACAGTTGACTTGCTGTGCGAATTCACCCCGAGGCTGTATTTACCTGGACTGCTCAAGAGGCTAGCCCTGTCCCCCAGGGTTGGCACGGGACGGTACTGGTGGTTCTTTGAGCCTGGGTACATCCAGTGGTACCTGCCAATTTCCATTTCAGCTCTGCTGTTCACTGCCAATTTCAGGTGGCAAAGAGTCAGTGTCTCTACATCTCCAGCAAAGGTTCTACATCAGCATTTTAATTTATTCTTTTACCATAGAGTTCAAGGAAACGGGGAGCTCACACAATATGCTATCGAATTGCAACCTTTCAGTATCACCTTATCAACTCAGCACAACACACGGAGAACGTCAGTCTCCTCCTCCATTTTTCAATTTAAGTTGACAAAAATCACCAATATTGTCTTTTCTTTCTGTATTTTCTCCATCTCCCCCCAAGTCCCGCCCCTTAGAACGATCATTTTGGGCAGACACTATTTATAAGGAAAATCTGGCTTCTCACCATCGTAGGTTTCTTTCTGTTTCTTTCACTTTCAGACCCACCGAGCACCATCATTACTGCAGCGACACAAGCGAGGCTGAATCCAGGCTTGCTATGACGGCGCCTAGTTCCAGCCTGCAAAGTATGGCCAAGGACCCCATGGTCTGCTGAACCTTGGATGAAAACTCCTGTCCTTCCACTGACATCTGCAATATTCTCTGTCACCTCATCTTATCTAAGCTCAGGACTTCAGAGTCTAGAATGTTCCAGATTAAATCCTGTTCCAATGATCTCCCAGTGTCTTTATGGAGAAAGGGCTGCTGGTCTTGGGCTTGAAGCACTGCTTCCTCCCACACGAGGTGACAAGGGGCCTCCTGGAGACTCGGGCCCTTATCTGGTAATCTGACTATATTTCTTATTTCTTAGGGGATTGCAGAGAAAAATATCTATCAACTTGCCTGACACAGAATCAGATGCTGGTAACTCTTCGTAAGTTCACTATGGCCAGTTTATAGGTGAGAATCCCATCAAACCTAATGATGGGTTACGTCCTCTTGGGTGCCACAAATGTTTAAGGATTGAAAAAATGGTGCTGACACTGATGTGCGTAATTATTCCATCAGAAGAGCAGGTTATAATGCCCTGGGCACCTCAGACCACTGAGGCTAAGGACTAAGCAAACTGCCATGTTGTGAGGCAAAAAGGCTACTGCCCTGACTGGGTCCACTGAAAACCTCACCAGCTGTTACGAAAACCCATCTCCGCTCTCCACAATCTCTGAAAACTCTCGAGGTATTTCCACTTGGCAAGTGGAGACCTACGTTGCTGTTGGCTTTGCTGTTAATGAACATGATGACGTCTCTGATTTACAGTGGGCTCACCGTGTGCTGGTCACCAAGCAAAGCACGTTGCACTCGTTACCTCAGGATTTTTTTTTTTTTTGACACGAAGTCTAAAGGTTTTTGTTCTTTTTTTTATGTGTAACATAGGCAAAATTATCTAAGTCAATACATTTTTAAGGACTGTCACCTGTTCTGATTCTTTCCACCGCCAGTCACCTTAGTACCTCCAATGTTTGAGTCACGATCACGACAGCCCTTTCAAAAAGAATCTTTGCTCGATCTACAGTTGTCACGTCAGTCAGTCCACAATTTCTTTAGTTGGGCTTCTTTGATCTCCCATGGAATACTGGACACACTTCAAAATTCCCCACTGGTAATCGCGGGGATCCAATTTCCTGAAGCAATTTATTTTAGGACCCTGTTTAGGGTCAGAGGAGATGGATCTGCCTGGTTCTGAATTTCAGACGCCGTCTAAACATGCATTAAGTTCACATCAGATTCCCTCGTAAGCGATCACACCTTAGAACAGCTGGGATATGCCAATACCTACAAACCAAGAAGGGCAACGGAAAGCTAAGTCCCTTGCCCGCGATCACGCAGCCGGGGGCCTGTGCACTTGCTGTAATTTTCTACTCTTGTGCTGAGGTCTCTTCGGAGGTGAGCTGTGCTTCTGTGCCTTGTAAAGACATCTGTCAGGTCGCAAGCTCCTGAGGTTACTTCAGGGTGCTTAAAAGTTCTGAACTCTCAGCCTTTCCTGGATTCAGATTTTGGGTGAGTCTCTCTCATACATGGGTTGCGCTACATTCCCCGAAAGCGGAGAAACCCAGTGGGGCTGGTGGAAAGAACCAGAAGGAGGTCAAGTGGACTCGTGGTATGAGCTGATTTCCTCTTGGTCAGAGTGGCTGTAAGCCCTCCGTGTCGACCTCAAGCAAGAGGATTCCAAGGAGCTCGATCACTTCTATCCGAAAAATGTTCACCCTCCTTGCAAAAAAGTTCTCCCTCCAAGCCCAACACACAGTTGGTGCCCAGTCAATGTCTGCTGCATAAATATTTGGTTGAATGCAGGGGAGCAGCCTGGGAGCCTGTGGATCAAGCAATGGGCCTCTAGGTCCCCCACCACCCGGACTGCACCCCAGCCAGGCCATGCAATTCAGGGGATCTTTGCACAGGATTCATCCATTCTCTGCCCGCGTCTCTTCACGTAAGCAATCGGGCACAGGCTGCTTGGCAATGACAATGAAAAATCATGGAATGCCCAACGTTAATGCGTTTCCTGAGAAAAACAGGACAGCCAAGCCCGAGACGTGGAGATGGGATCCACAAGTGGGTGGATGCTTTCCACTTCTACTGGGAAGGCCTTTGGACAACAATTAATCTTTAGATATGAAGGGAGGGAAAATCATGTCTATTTTATATTTCTGAGCCAGACTTAAATAAAGACATTAAATACCCAATTATAAAATTTCAAAGAGCACAGTATATGTTTTGTTTAAAAGGGCAGGGTCCCAACGCTTAAGAGGGAGTCACATGAGTGCAAGGAGGAGCCTCAGCTTCTGAGCAACTGTCAAGAAGTGGGAAAATGTACAGACCTAGGAAGATCCTGGCTTATGCCCTTCAGAGGGAAGCCTGCAAACGTTCCCCTTAGAGAGAAGAAGGGAGAGGTGGGCAGGAGACTGACTGGTATCCTGGAAGAAGCACAGAAGACTGTGACATCTCAGATACTGCTTATGGATGGGGCTGAGGTGAACGGCGGTGACTGATGGCGAGACACACAACTGGGTGGTCATCGCCAAAGTAGGTATGACAAACGACGGGGACTTGAGGAAAAGAAATCAAAATAATTTACTCAGAAGACGTAATTTAGGGACAAGGCTGAATAACTAAACTGCAGACTGGCATGCTTTCTGCCATCTAGGAAATTATCACTGGAAGCAACTAAATGACAAAGACTGAGCTTCCTATAAAGACTATACTCACTGGGCCAGGTCTCTGAAAGCTACATCAATCCTCCTCCATTTTTAGCTAGTACTTAAAATATTAAAGGGAGCTATAACACCACTACAGGATATAGCAGAGGTCGGCTGATGACGGCCACCTGGTTTTGTAAATAAAGTTTGATTGCAATACAGCCACACCCATTTGTTTATCCTCTATCTGTGGCTGTTTCATGGTACCCTGGTAGCTTTTTTTATTATTATTATTCTTATTAGTCATCCATTTTATACACATCAGTGTATCCATGTCAATCCCAATCTCCCAATACCTCACACCACCACCACCACCTGCCCCGCTTTCCCCCCTCGGTGTCCATATGCTTGTTCTCTACGTCTGTGTCTCTATTTCTGCACCATTTCATCTGCACCATTTTTCTAGGTTCCACATACATGCGTTAATATACGATATTTGTTTTTCTCTTTCTGACTTACTTCACTCTGTATGACAGTCTCTAGATCCACCCACGTCGCTACAAATGACCCAGTTTCGTTCCTTTGAGTAGTTACAACAGACCGTGTGGCCCACAGAGCCTAAATATTTACTCTTGGGCCCTTTACAGATCAAGTATGCTGACCCATGATATCAAATATAGCTAGTAAGGTTTGAATATACAAAAAAGGTAATGCAATTAATCAAATCCTACAAAACAGGAAAGTATTTTATTTTCTCTTATCGCATATTCTCTGGGCTAAGGGTCAAAATCCTCCTCTTGGGCATCATCAATTCTCCTCTTGCCACCAATCAGCAAGATGATACTCCACAGAATGGTCCCTAAGATGAGTTAGCACCCCTCTGCTCCTCTGACGTGAGCTGAGAGGACAGAGGAAGGATGATGTTTCAGAGAGGAACATTATTAAATGAATAAATAGATGAACAAATGAATACACAAGCAGGCACATTTGTGAAGCTGGGATTGTAGCCTCCCTCTCTTAACAGACACCTTCTTCCTCTGTCCCACAGCCATCTTTACTCCTGGCCAACCATCTCACATGGAGGTACACTGGGTCCCAAGGAGAAAAAAGCAAGGGAGCATCTCAGAACAGTCCAATTTTTCACCAGGCCCAGTGAGGGGAAACTTAAGTCATGGGGACACTGGCTACGTCACATGTTCTCAGATACAGCAAGGCTGTAAGTCACGCTATGAAGATTATTTACTTTAAATTGGCGTGTACTTCCAAGTAAGAGAGGAACACAATTTTTAACGTTACAATGTGAATTCAAGATTTCCACTCAATTTCAAGGAAGGCAAAGCTACATTTCCAGAAATGGGTCCGAATTCTTTGCCTAATGAATGAGCGAGGCCGAGTGTTTGGAAGGATGCTGATGGAAACTATAATATCAAAGGAGGAGAGGTACCAACTGGCTTGCTGAGACTTCCTCCACATTTAAATTTTCTAAAAAAAAAAAAAAGCAAGCTGTATCACACCCACCACATATGTCCAGCACCATCTGGCCGGCCCCGCTTTTCTCTACAGCCTCATCCCCAGACACCCTCTCTTCAAATGTCCTCCTTGGCAGATTCTCATAGAAAAAAACCACATCTACAACCTTCTCCATACCACATGTATGTAGTCAAGTCAGAAAATGTCAATAAAAATCTCAACATCAAATAATTCATAAATCAGCA